AGGCTGAATAAAATTTATTATTATAACTAATTTATTGTACAGAATCTTTCTAGATCATCACTTTCCGTGCATGTAGAACACATATTTCAAATTCTTAAAGATACTGTATAGATTGTGTCACAACCTTCATATAGGTAACCTTGAGAACATTTGATCTCAGTGAGTTAAACATGTACAGCCGCAAGTGTGGTTCTGGTAGATGAGGTTATTTAGTATGTGTTGTACCTGAAATGTAAAAAAAAACAAAAATAACAGGATTCAAATGAATATGAGAGTATAATTATTAGAAGCAATTATTCTTGAACAAAAAACAAATGCAGCTGATTAGCACTTACTCTTAGAATTTAGTGTTGCATCTACTTTACTCTTCAGGGAACTGTTAACGGGGATGACCAACAGGCTGTTTGATCTAAAATTTAAATTAAGCTCATTTCTGGCAAATCAAGACAGTTTCAGTGCTGAGGATTAATCTTGACACCACTGATGAATTGGTTGAAATGAATGAGTCATCACTGCAAGCAGCAGTATTATATTCATTTTCAAAGCTGACTGAACCAGTTAATGATGGCACAGCTACACTACAGCTTGTTTTTACTCTTGCTTAATTCCACAGAATTAAGCAAGAATTAATGGAAGTTCTTTTTGTTGTTGTTGTTGTTGTTGTTGTTTTTCTTTAACTAATTCACCCAAGGAAGCATGTAACATCACCTGGTATATATAGATATATATAAAAATTTCCCCACTCGCCCCCCACTTCGGGGCGGTCTCTTATTCCTTCCTTCAAACTCGGGTCCTCTACCAGAGGTCTGGAAGCTTGAGGGTCCTGCGCAGTATCTTAGCTGTTCCTAGCACTGCACACTTCTGGACAAAGATCTCAGATGTTGTTCCTGGGATCTGTTGGAGCCACTCTCCCAGTTTGGGGGTCACAGCCCCCAGTGTTCCTATTACCACGAGGACCACTTGTGTCTTCACCCTCCACATCTTTTCTAGCTCTTCTTTCAGCCCTTGGTATTTCTCGAGCTTCTCGTGTTCCTTCTTCCTGATGTTGCCATCGCTTGGGATTGCTGCATCTAACACTCCTAAGCCCTTCTTCTGTTTGTCCACCACTACTATGTCCGGTTGGTTGGCATTTGTCAGTTTGTATCTAGAAGTCCCACAGGATCTTAGCTTGGTCATTCTCAACCACCTTTGGACATGTATCCCATTTTGACTTTGGGACTTCTAGCCTGTACTCAGTGCTCAGTACAGATGTTTCTGTACACTATGCCAGCCAATTGATTATGGCGTTCCATGTATGCCCTGCCTGCTAGCATCTTGCACCCCACTGTTATGTGCTGGATTGTCTCAGGGGCATCTTTGCACAGCCCACACCTGGGGTCCTGTCTGGTATGGTAGACCCCTGTCTCTATTGATCTTGTACTTAGAGCTTGTTCTTGTGCTGCCATGATTAGTGCCTATATGTATATAATATGTATATATACTGTATATATAAACTGGGAGAGTGGCTCCAACAGATCCCAGGAACAACATCTGAGATCTCTGTCCAGAAGAGTGCAGTCCTTGGAGGGGGATACAAACTGTCTTATTATGGTGTGGACAGGAAGAGAAATGGGGTAGGAGTAGTGATCCTGAAAGAGGAGCTCGTAAGGAATGTTTTAGAGGTGAAAAGAGTGTCAGACAGGGTGATCAGTTTGAAGTTGGACATTGAAGGGGTAATGTTGAATGTAGTCAGTGGTTATGCTCCACAAGTAGGGTGTGAGTTAGAAGAGAAGGAGAGATTCTTGAGTGAGTTAGATAAGGTGATGGAGAGTATTCCCAGAGAGGAGAGAGTGGTGATTGGAGCAGACTTCAACAGGCACGTTGGTGAGGGGAACAAAGGTGATAAGGAGGTGATGGGCAGGTTTGGTGTCAAAGGAAGGAACCTAGAAGGACAGATGGTGGTGGACTTTGCTAAGAGGATGGAAATGGCTGTAGTTAACACCTATTTCCAGAAGAGGGAGGAACATAGAGTTACATATAAGAGTGGAGGTAGGAGTACGCAGGTAGACTACATTCTATGTAGACGAGGCAATCTGAGAGAGATTAGTGACTGCAAAGTGGTGGTAGGAGAAAGTGTAGCCAGACAGCATCGGATGGTGGTGTGTAGGATGACTCTAGTGGTCAGGAAGAAGAGGAGAGGAAAGACAGAAAAGAAGACCAAGTGGTGGAAGTTGCAAA